GATTTCATTTTGGCCTGCAAAAGTGTAATACCACAGTTATGGTGAAAGGGTCTATATCCTGTTCTCATTTTTTCTAGCTGCAGATTTGTACGTAGCTTGCTGGTCTAAAAAAATTGGGATGGACGACAAGAGAGCTTCAGTGCCAGCCATAGAAAAAACAGTATATATTTACTGCACACAAAAAGTTGGGATTTATTTCTCCAAATTCTTACCTCAAGTGCACAAAAGGTCGAATTCAAAAGCCTTTCTTAGCTTTCAGTAAACTACTCTTGTAGTTGACATCTGCACAAAGTGTGATGGACCAAATTATCTTGCCACCCAAAAAGGCAGTTTAAACAGGAAAAATTTTCGATGATTTCAATTTTAGGCTTAGGAGGGTTATAAACATTTGTTTTAAAGAATGTTTTTACGTGCAAATAGTTAGTGTGTTAGGAACACACAATTAGTAATATTTCTAGATGGGATTTTAAAAAGACGGAGAAATAAATTGAGATTCAGCACACTTTTTTGTTCACAATAAATAAATAATATGTTGACGGTGTGACCATTAGCCGGCGAGCGCAGATACTTATCCAGTTTTCATTTAGATCCAGTTCGTCTAATGTCCTGTTCACACGGAGAGTTTAATTTGAATTAAACGTAAAGTTACTGCAAATTAGCTTCGCTGAGCGTTCACACGAATTTAATCTGAATTAGTTTAATTCAAATTTATTTACTTTGCATTAAATTACTTCGCATTAGCTCCGTGTGAACGCTAAGTGAAGCTGATTCAAATTAAATTTTGACGCAAGCGAAAGGACAGAATTAAGTCACAGGACCACTGTTTTCCCTTTATTTCAAAGTAAAGGGTTAGAGATCAGTTGTAACAGGCTAGGGGCTGAAGTTTATGAACATAATCTCTGTGGACTTGATAAGAAATTTTTATTTCAAAGGGGCATTTTTGTCAGTTGAAAAGGTCAATTTGGCCGGTAGCCGGTTTTTAGGGAAAACACTGAGGACACATGTTGGTGGTTAGATTTAGGTATCCATGCTATATTTGGTTCAAAAATCAAGGAAAAGTATGGTAATCACTAAATGTATACCTGTAGCCACTATGATTATTATATCAAATGGATGGCTCTGCATACATGACATGATTTACAAATGACATCATAATAGCCTTACTGAATAGTCTTTTTGAAGAGTTAAATTTTAATTCACATTAGTTTACTTCGCTTTAGCTGTTGTGTGAACATAATTTAATTCGCATTATTTTAATTCGTATTAGATTACTTCACATTAATTTACTGCGAATCAAACTCTCCGTATGAACAGGGCATAAGACTCTGACATCACATGATGTTGTATGCATGTTGCTTTACCAAACCGAAGCCTGAACAGGGTTGATTTTAATGAAGAACAGTTTTATTGACTATTTTTAGGTCACCTGAGTAAACTCAGGTGACCTATTGCTATCCGTTTTCGTCCGTCGTCGTCCATCGTGCATTAACATTTAAACATTTTCAGCTTCTTCTCTGAAACCGCTGAACCAATTTCAACCAAATTTGGTATACAGCATCTGTGGGTGAAGGGGAACAAAAATTGTGAATTTCATGGTCCCTGTCCCCCTGGGGCCTGGGGGATGGGGCCAAAACCACTAAAATTAGTGCAATCTTTAAAAATCTTCTTCTTTACTCCTGGACATCAAGCAGTCAAACTGTTGGTATGATTGTAATCAGCATTGAGTCCTCTACCAAAATTGTGAAATTCATGGCCCCAGGGTGAGGGGTTCTAGTGCTAGGGCGGGGCAATATTGATTATATAGTGAAAATGCATTATTTCTTTGAAAATCTTCTTCTCTGCCCCTGGGTATTAAATAAACTAACTAAGTACATAGATATGATAAGCAAGAGTGCCTCTACCAAAATTGTGAATTTTATAGCCCGAGGGTTAGGGGTTCTGGTGCTAGGGCAGGGCTCTATTGATTATATAGTGAAAATGCATTAATTATTTGAAAATCTTCTTCTCTGTTCCTAAGCATTAAATAAACTAACTAAGTAAATAGTTATGATGAGCAAGAGTGCCTCTACCAAAATTGTGAGTTTTATGGCCCCAGTATCAGGGGTTAAGGTGTTAGGGCGGGGCTCTATTGATTATATAGTGAAAATGCATTATTTCTTTGAAAATCTTCTCCTCTGTTCCTAAGTATTAAATAAACTAATTATTAAGTAAATAGTTATGATGAGCAAGAGTGCTTCTACCAAAATTGTGAATTTTATGGCCCCAGGGTCAGGGGTTCTGGCCTGGGGGGGGCTCTATTGATTATATAGTGAAAATGTATTAAATCTAAATCTTTGAACATCTTCTTCTCTGCTCTTAAGAATTAAATAAACTAGGGCTAATTGTAACGGGAACCGTTACAGATGTTCCCCAAACGCTCCCCAACTCCCTTTTGATGCCATACTCCCTTTAAGCTTCATTAAAAACGACAAACTCTATGCATTTTACACTTTAACAACGTTTCCCTGAAGTATACCGAGTAAATTCAAATTTTAGCATTTCCACGCGTGCACATGTAAATGCATGTGCGTAATGACCATATTCTCTTGTCTACACTATCTATATACATTAATATAATAAAATAATAAAGCATTTAATCCAAAAGTATTAAAAAATACGCTTCATCAAGTGTATTTTTTATTTTATCCATCTCACGTGCATGCATGTGCATGATGACCTTACCTTTTTGTAGCAATCCACTATGTTTATCTATGTTCTAAATCCCATCCTGTTTGGTTGAAAATCAAAGGAGTTATACCCATTTAAAGTTTAAGCCAATCAGATTGCAGCGCACGTGCATGCGCGTGTTTTCATGATACCTGCTATATATTATGTTGTAGTATATCCTAATGCATGACTATATTTAAAATTTCAAAGCATTTCGTCTAAAAACAAAAGAGATATTGAAATCTTTGTTTCAGCCAATCAGAGGGAAGCGCACGTGCATGCACGTGAGTTCGTGCTAATTTGACCATGTCATATTATTTAGACTATTAATATATCCTTATAGAATGAGTTTAAAAGCATTTCAATAAAAAATGTAAAAGTTATGGCTATAATAAGTATATCAGTCATTTCACTCATTTCACGCGCACGCACGTGCATGCGTATGCGCGCAAAATGACCTTCGTTGTGCACACCTACACTTGACACCTATTAACCCTAAAAAGGTTTTAACTTAGTTGGGTGAACAGTTTCTGAGAACACTCGCGGACAAAAAAAGTACCGGAGAACAAAGAAGAAAAAAAAGAATAATAATAATAATAATAATAATAAGAAACCGAGTAAAAACAATATGTTAAACTCCGTTTGGGGAACATAACTAGCTAAGGACATAGTTATGATGAGCAAGAGTGCCTCTTCCAAAATTATGAATTTTATGGCCCCAGGCTCAGGGGTTATGGTGTTAAGGCGTGGTTCTATAATAATTATATAGTGAAAATACATTACATCTATGAAAATCTTTTTCTCTACTCCTGGGTAAGAAGCAGATGAACTGCCTATATAGTTATGGTGTGCAAGGGCTCTTCTTCCAGATTTGTGAATTTTAAGGCCCCTGGGTCAGAGATACCAAAAGGGGGGGTCTACTTATATACTGAAAATGAATTGTTTGAAATCTGCTCTTTGGTATTAATCAAACATTTTTGATAAGCAAGTGTGCCTTTTCAAAAATTGTGCAATGTGTAGACTTAGGGTCAGGGGTTCATGTGTGATAGGGGCACTTCTGATTATAGCTGAATACTACTGATTGGTTGAAATGCATTTTTTGTTCCCC